CCTTAGGTTTAGAGGTTAGGATTTACAACACGTATTTTTGGAGGCCGCAACTCAATCTGTAATAGATCTCGTCACTAAAAAAAAAAAAAAAAAAAAAAAGCCATATTTGAAAGAACACAACTTGTTTGTGAGGCTCAATTTTTGTGACCTCATAACTTTTATGTGTGCTCAGCCCAAGTAAATGAATGTTCATGAATGCTACTAGCATGGCCTAAATAAAGTACAAAAATATTTAGAGGCATCTGTTAATTCCTAGTCCCTCGGTGGCACAAACAGTTAGTGCTCAAGTACTAAGGAGAGATTGGCAGTTTGAACCCGCCCGGTAGCACCAAGGAAGAAAGACCTGGTGATCTGCTTCTGTAAAAGATTACAGGCAAAAAACCCTATGGAGCTCAGTTCTCCTTTGAACCCATGGGTCTCCATGAGTCAAAATCGACTTCACAGCATCTTTTTTTTACAATTAGTACCTGGCATGAAATAGGAATCAATACTTGTTTGCTGAATTTGTAAAGAATAACATGTATCATTCCCTCCTCCCTGGTTCTGCTGTTTCCTGATCTGATGCAGTGGAAGCCACAAGGGGGTGTCATTGAACCATCTTACGTTACTGCTTTATTCACACATAGCCTGTGCCAAACAAAATCTTTACATTCTGGGATGAAGTACCATTGCAAAACAGTTTATACTGAGCACAAACCACATTTTTTTATAGAGCATTACTTAAAGAGAAAAATCCCTCACTGTTTTGCATTTACTCAATGAAGTAAATAAGAGCATTACAATGTTTAAGAGGTCATTTAACATGTTCGCAAATTGGAGGCAATTTAAAGTTCTTTGGTTAATTGGAATACATTTTTCAGTTTCATTTTTGCTCTCCTGTCTTAGGTTTCTCTAGAGAAAAGGAACCAGTGATAGAGAGGGAGAGAGATTTGCTTCAAAGGATTGGCTCCCGTGATTGTGGAGCTGGCAAGTCCAAAATCCGAAGGTGGGCCTTCAGCCTGGAGATTTCTACAGGCTTTCGTCCCAAATTCTGAAGGTCAGGCAAAAAGAGAAGAGAGGGAGATCTGCCAAAATATCTATCAATTATAGTCTGAAGGCAGACCACACCCTAAGGAAACACCCCTTCCAACTAATAATTGATTACGTTATGGAAGGTGACTTCATTACATTATGTTAGATTACATTATGGAACAGCAACTAGTCTATTGTGGTTAGGTGCTTTTGAGTTGGTTCCAACTCACAGCGACCCCATATACAACAGAAAGAAACACTGCGCGTCATCCTCAGTTGTTGCTATATTTGAGGCCATTGCTGCAGCCACTGTGTCAATCCATCTGTTGAGGGTCTTCCTCTTTTTCACTGACCCTCTGCCTTACCAAGCATGATGGGCTTCTTCAGGGACTGGTTCCTCCTGATAACATGTCCAGAGTATGTGCGACACTGTACTTCGTCCAAGACAGATATGTTCGTTCTTCTGGCAGTCCATGGTATATTCAGTATTCTTCACCAATACCATAATTCAAATGCATCAATTCTTCAGTCTTCCTTATTTATTGTTCGGCTTTCATATGCGTATGAGGCAATTGAAAATACCATGGCTTGGGTCAGGTGCACCTTAGTCCTCAAAGTGACAGTCTTTTCAGAAGTAGATTGCCAGGTTCTTCTTCCTAGTCCTTCTTAGTCTGGAGGCTCCGCTGAAACTTGTCCACCATTGTGACCCTGCTGCAGTGGTGTCACTAGGTTTGATGTCACCCAGTGCAGTAACTCATAGCGTCACATTCCCCCCCATGGACCTCCTCCCATACCAGGTTCACAAATACTAATTACCAAAATATTGTAGCTAAAACACCAGAAAATTTGACAAAATCGGCGACTATAAAAACACCAGCAGCAACAGCGTATGCTTGTAGCATGTGCAGACAAAACCACGTGATTTGAAGCACCATTGTAATTGGGAAATAATGACAGCTCTGACCAGAGTGCATCAGAAGGTTCAAAAAGTAAATTAGCATAGAGTTTTAGCCTTGTAGGTACATTACTACATTTAAGCTGGGCTTACGAAAAATTATGTGTTGTTATGACTAATTACAGGGATATTTTTATTAAAAAAAAAATTTCTGCTGAAACACTACACAAAAATTTTATAGACAGTTATTTTGGTGTCACCCTTTCTGACAGTGTTATCCCATGCAGTCCACACTCCCACATCCCGCTAGTAATGCCATTGCCCTGCTGGTATTTGAAATACCAGTAGCATAGCTTCTGGCATCACAGCAATATGCAAGCCATAACTCTCAGTGGTTTGGCAGTTGTGATGTAGCTTGGCAGTCATGATGATGTGCTCACTTCCACGATGAGATTTGATATAATGTGATCACCTGATGGGATCTACTGTGAGTAGCCAGTCAGTTGAAAGGGAGTTTCCTTGGGGGTGTGGCCTACATCCAATATAGATGGACTCTCTGGCAAGGCTCGTAGGCTTTTGCTCGCACCGGATCCTGCAGCTGGCTCCTGTTGGTTTGACCTTCAGTTCTTGGGACTTCAGCTAGCAACTTCCCTGCCATCTTGCCTGCAGATCTTGGGATTATTCAGTCTTCGCAGCCTGTAAGCCAGAGCCTTGTTGTCTGACTTGCTGATCGTGGCTTTGCCAGCCCCTGTGGCTACGTGAATCAGGAGAAGCCTCTAGCCTGACCCATGTTCTATCCTCTACAACCGCGTAAGTTATTTCCTTGGTATAAATATCTCTTACTATATATTTGGAGCCCTGGTGGCACACTGGTTAAGAGCTTGGCTGCTAACCAAAAGGTCAGCAGTTGGAATCCACTAGCCACTCCTTGGAAACCCTATGGGGCAGTTCTTCTCTGTCCTACAGGGTCGCTATGAGTCGCATATTTATATATTTATACGCTTTACTAGTATTGCTTCTCTAGATAACCCAGCCTAAGACACCCTCACAGTACGACAAATTGACAGGAGAGTGGTGGGCAGGTAGTCTAGTATTTTGCTAAACCACTG